AGGGGCAAGTGTGATGCTCACACATGAAACCTAGGAGCCTTGTTCTTATGGTATACCTCCCAAGTTAGTGGAGGTCACAAGGCTAAAATATTTCCTACAAGACATCTTGCTTTTTCAAATAAAAGATTATGTACTTGTTAGAATTTGAACCATAAACTCTTCTACAAAAATCTTTTAAGCAATTACATTTCAGAATAATATTTATATAATAATAATATCTATCATAGATATATTTTATAAATTGCTTTTAATCCTCACAAAAATTTTATGAGCATTTTATCACTCTTTTACAGATTACTCAGCTTGAACAGCTTGCTAATATCACAAAGCTAATGAGTGCAAATCTGGAATTTGGCTCTAAGCCTTCTAATTCTATATTCTACACGTCACTACTACTATATCTTACTGCTTTAGATAGATTAGATTTGAAGGGTCAGTCTGTCAAGCACAAGTAACAGCTGTTTCATTCATTTTTAATATATAATATAGGTCATATATTCATACTAGTTATCAACAGGTATTTGCCTGTTAAACTCAGATTTATAAAAGTTCTATCAAAGCTGCTTTATTACTATGTTAATCAATTATTGGGTAATATTTTTATATGAAGAATCTCTGACACAAGTTCAAGAAGGATCAGTGAATTATACGTTTTGTTATATATTACTCTCGAGGATGAATTGTTGATTTTTTTTCTAAATTAAATTATAACTTAGAGAAAGGTGTTTTTAAATACTAAAAGTAAAAATGGCATTCTTTTTAACCTGTAAGTAAACAAGAATACCATAATAGATGTGGAATGAAAAATTAGAAGGGAACTGGTGAATTACTCAATATATTGGACAATTAGCTAACCTTGTGGGAAAATTTTAATCAGAGCCCTGCTTTATAGAAAAATTAATTCCAGGGGAATTAAACACCTAAATATGAAAAACAAAACTTTAAAAAGAAAACAGGGGGTACCTTTATGACATTGGGATAGGGAAGGATTTCAACACAAGACACAGAAAACGCAGATTAAAAATGAAAAGGTTGATATATTTGACTTCCTGGAAATTAAAAACATCTCTGCATCAAAGACTCCAAAAACAAAATGAAAAGATGAGCTACAACTAGGAGAATGTAATAGCAGCATGTATAGCCAATGGAGAATTAGTATATAGACTACATGATAAATACCCTCATTTTTAAATGTGTGGTTTCTTGAACAGTGTGGTTCTTTAGTTGAGATTCTCTGACTAGCAGTATCAGCATCGGTGGGAACGAACGTATTAGAAATCAGGATTCCCTGGCCCCCACTCAAGACCGTACTGATTCAGAAACTCTGGAGGTTGGGTTTTGCAGTCTTTAACAGACTCTCCAGGTGATTCTGATGCATGCTAAAATTTGATAGCCATTGTATTAGAGTAAACTCAAATGATAAATATTCAATCTTATCTTCAACCAGAAAACGTAAGACTGTGAAATATTTTTTCATACCCATAAGAGTAGCTAACGTTGGGCGCCTGGGTGGCTCAATTGGTTAAGCGACTGCCTTCGGCTCAGGTCATGATCCTGGAGTCCCCGGATCCAGTCCCCACATCGGTCTCCCTGCTTGGCAGGGAGTCTGCTTCTCCCTCTAACCCGCTTCCCTCTCGTGCTCTCTATCTCTCATTCTCTCTCTCTCAAATAAATAAATAAAATCTTTAAAAAAAACAAAAAAGAGTAGCTAACGTTTAAGTTTTAACGAGGGTGTAGAAAAATTGTAGCTTTGCTGTTGGAAATACAAATTAGCATAACTGTGGTTTGAGGGAGTAATTTGGAAATACCCAGTAAAGTTGAAGATGTGCATCCTTGATGACCAAGTATTTCTACTTTTAAGTATTTACCGTAAAAAAAACTCTTGCACAAAGATACAGCAGTCAAAAATAAAGGATTTTTGTTTTAGCACTATTTGAAATAATGAAACTTTATGATAAACTGTCTATCAGTAAGGAATGAATAAGCTGGTTTTAATCCATGCAGCTATTGTACAGTCTGTTTAAAGTCAGCGAATTTGCAAATACAGCTAAAAGTTAGCATCTTTTAAAAATGAATAGTGGTGCATGTGTACCTACTTCCTGTACTTTGTTTGAAATGCTTCATAATTTTAAATTTAAAAAATTAAATGGGATATTAAAAGGATCCCCACCTGGCTCTGTCTTATCTTTCAGGATTCTGTTTCAAAAGATTGAGTTTGGGGCACCGGGGTGACTCAGTGGTTGAGTGGCTGGCTCTTGATTCAGCTCAGGTCGTGATCTCAGGGTCCTGGGATCAAGCCCCACATCGGACTCCATGTGCTCAGTGGGGAGTCTGCTTGAGGAATCCCACTCTCCCTCCCTCTCCTCTTCCCCCCACTCCTGCTTGCACGCACGCTCTCTCTCTCTCAAATAAGTAAATAAATCTTAAAAAAATAAAAAGGTGATTGAATTTGGGCAAACTAGAATCTTCAATCTAGTTGAGGGGGGAAGGTATAACTAGACACTGAAAATCATTTTTTGAACACTAAATGCAAAAAACCCTCCAGGAAATGCAAGTTAATTGAGTATAAATTCTTGAGTAATTGCCGTGGCCCAAAGTAGAGGGACATATAGGCATATTATAGTATCATGTGTCCAAAATTATATTAGAGTTGAATTAGAGTAGGCTTTGGGGGGGGTTTTATTATTTGTTTTTCATTTTGTTTTGTTTTGCTTTTTAGCAGGGGGAGTGCAGAGGGAGAGAGAAAATCTTAAGCTGACTCCATGCCCAGTGCAGAGCCCTACACAGGGCTTGATCTCACAGCTCTGAGATCATGACATGAGCTGTGAAATCAAGAGTAGGATACTTATCCAACTAAGCCATCCAGGTGCCCGAAGTAGGTTTTTTTTGGTTTGTTTCATTTGTTTCTAGAAGTAAAAGTTAAGTGGAAGAGAATATGAAGGCTGTATATTCTAACCTTTTTTTTTTTTTAGCTCATATTCCATTTTGATAAATAATCCTCGTGGTTAATTTAATTTGAAATTTCACAGTAAGTTAAATACTATTCTAAAAATGATTGAATAAAAGATTTTGTGATTGCAGAGAGGAATCCTTTTCCCCTCCTCACATTTTTATCTACATATGGACAAGGGATCTTCAGTTCTCTCAGAAGTGCTAGAGGGAAAAGTCTAGCTTTCTGTATTAATCAGGATGGGCTAGACTGTGTTGCCATAACAAAGCAAGCCTGAAATACCAGTGGCATAACCACACATATTTACTTTCATTCATATTATATGTACAGCGCAGATCATTGGAGGCCCTTGCTCCACATAGTCCCTTGGGAACTCCCATTTAGACACTGGTATGTTATAGTTTCACCAGTGAAATACATAACTCCCAAGGTGCACAAAGGGAGAAAGAAAATGGAGCATTGATTCTTAATTATGTTAACTGAGAAATGAAATATATCATTTGTGCTCCATTCATGGTCCTATACTAGCTGCAAAGGAAACTGAGAAATGTAGGTGAGCAAATGGAATATTGACGAGTGCTGTCTCTGTTCTGTGTTCTCTTTACCACTTTACTTGCACCTCATAGAAGGCATTAGATAGCTCCATGCTACTAGTTCATGGTGTAAATGAATATTCTTTATCAGCCAAAACTTCAGAAGGGAAGGGGATTTTCAGTGGTAGGACTCGAATACCAGACTCTACCTTGAGCCTCCAAAAGTAACTTGATTTTGCTTATCTTACATTACACCTTTTTACCCCCCTCTGGATCACATGCTAATCAAACTGAATGCTGAATCTGATTGTTTGCTACGGACTTTTCTGTTCAGAATTTGAAAGATCAAAGCACTAACTAGATCACATGCAAAATTAAGTTAAAGTGGTTTCTTGGAAAGTTTTTTGACATCTAAATCAAACTTTAGTCTAAAGATTTCCTTTTGTGTATCTTCTTACAAAGAGCGAAATGTGTGAGAGAAAAGTCCTCATAAGTTTTCAGAAGAGATCTTTGGGCACCTCGGTGGCTCAGTCAGTTAAGCGTCCGACTCTTGATTTCTGCTCAGGTCATGATCTCAGGTTTGTGGGATCAAGCCCTATGTCGGACTCTACGCTGGGTGTGGAACCTGCTTGAGATTCTCTCCCTCCTGCCCCTTCTCTCTTCCTCTCTAAAAAAAAAAGAGAGAGCGAGATCTCAATCATAATAGTAGGAAATTATCACCTTAGTTCATTCAACTCACTAGGTAATATTTGAGGTTTCCCCTCAACTTGAAATCGGTTTCAATGCCTTTGCTTTGAGAACTTAACTTCTTATGTGGGTTTTTTTGTAACATAATCTACTTTGGATTTAATATCGTTAGGCATTGTTGAGATTAGGTAGGTCATGTTAATAATATTCAATAGAAAGTATTTTAGGAACTAAAGATACATTAAAGTGGGGAAAGGTTGGAGGTAGGGAAACCAACTAGTGTTGTACTTTTTAGTGATTACGAATCTAAGTTCCTTAAGGGCAAGGACTATTGTGTTGTTCGTTTGTGTATTTCCAGTCTTTGTAGGTTCATTGTGAGTTTGTAATTATTGCAAATCATTTGTGGCAGGAAATAAAATTAATAAATAAATAAGTGAGTAAATGAATTATCCTTTACTGTTAAAAGAAAGACAGCTAAATACCTAGACTTATATAGTGGCAAGGAAAACAAAGGGCCTGGAAGAATACGGGGGACTTAAGAGGGCTAAGTAAAGTGGAGTGTATGATGAGGAACAAAATTAAGCATATTCTAAAACTGAATACTGGGGAACTGGAGAAAAGAAGGTTTTAAGTAACAGTTGGGGAAAAAAAAATGTCTATGTGTGTTTTTTTTTTTTTCTTAGAGAGGAGAGTTATCCAAGATATTGCTGATAAATCTAATAGGTATTAGAGTGAAAACTAATTGGAAAAAGACTGCATAGACAGTGAAATGAAAAAAAGAAAGTAGATTTGGGAGTTATTTACATGTAATTGATAGATTAAATCACTTTATGGATGAATTCTAGGATTAAATTGTTTTATAGATGAATTTTGGTGAGAGTAAGAATAGGCTAAGTTATATTGTTTTAAACTTTTTAAAAAATTGGATCTGTTTAAGCTGTGTTTTATTACATAAGAATAAATTCTGCTACCAGGAATGCCAATAATTTGTCCACATTTTCAGTTGCAATGGAGTTTTGCTTGAATTAGGCTGCCAGAATTTCACTGTGATGTTTTCACTGTAACAGGGTTTGTGGCACATTTAAAGCTACTTTGTGGCAAACAGAGCTGGGAAAGAAAGCTATATACAGTCCTCTGTGTAGCAGAAATTATTTTAAAGGATAGGTTTAGAGAGAAAAGGATGTAGTTGCAGAATAGCTATAGAGAATCTGACAAGTAGGTCCTCTAAATAGCAGCCACTGCTGCAACTCTACAAATAATTACATCTGCATTGTGTGGAAAGGGTTGTTGGTAGTACTTCAATATTTTTAAACTTCAGTTCTATCTGCATGTGACAATAGCATCATCAGTCATGTGTTCTAGGTTTTTGAGAATTAGAAAAGGGTCATAGAAGTCATTGTATCCATTTTACAGTTGTAAGGAAAATTTGCCAGAGAACCAAAGCTTCATAGCCAGTTAAATTGTTAGGCTAAGACTAACTAATGAATATTCTTTTGACTTCTAGTCTAGTACTTTTCCTATAATCCTGTGCAGTCTTCCTTCTTTAAATGTGATTAAAACTGAGAAATTTTTGTCTAAGCATTGATTTTATTTATATCTAGAATATAAGAATTAAGAGGAAAGTACCATTTTTTTTCTCTTAGTAACTTCTTATGTGAAATAAATTTATCAAACAACTTAACTGTCATTTTATTGATGAGGAAAAAAGCCTAAATTTTTTCTTTGGCAGGTGATTCATTCCATCTGGTTTAAATTTGGACAGTCAATATTTTTTAACTATTATTTTTTATTGAAGCATAGTTGACACACAATGTTGCATTAGTTTCAAGTGTATAACAGTGATTCATCAAGTTTCTGTACATTATGCTGTGCTCACAAGTGTAGCTACCATTTGTCACCATACAATGGTATTATAATGCCATTGACTATATTCTCTCTTGCCCTACCTTTCATCCCTATGACTTATTCATTCCATAACTGGAAGCCTGTATCTTCCACTCCCCTTCACCCATTTTGCCCATCTCCCATCTCCTCCCTTCTAGCAGCCACCAGTTTGTTCTCTGTATTTATGGGTCTGTTTCTGCTCTTTTTGTTTGTTTCATTTTTTAGATTCCACATATGAGTGAGATCACATGGTTTTGTCTTTCTCTGACTGACTTATTTCACTTAGTTTAATACCCTCTAGGTCCATTGATGTCCTTGCAAATGGCAAGATCTCATTCTTTTTTATAGCTGAGTAATATTCCATTGTATATCTATACCACATCTTTTTTATCCATTCAGCTATCACTGGACACTTAGGTTGCTTCCATATCTTGGCTCTTATAAATAATGCTGCAATAACCATAGGGATGCATGTATCTTTTTGAATTTATGGTTTCATTTTCTTTGGGTAAATACTCAGTAGTGGAATTACTAGATCATATGGTATTTCTGTTTTTAATTTTTTGAGAAACCTCCGTAGTGTATTCCACAGGGGCTGCACCAATTTACATTCCTACCAACAGTACACAGGTGTTAGTAAATTTTTTTGAGGGATAAACAAGTGTTTTAAAAATGATGTTTTCCTTTTCATCTTTTGTAACCAGAAAGAAGTTGAGAATTTTACAGACCTAGAGAAACTCTACCTCTACCTTCAGCTGCCTTCTGGTCTCAGCAATGGAGAGAAAAGGTATATCTCTTCTTGCTTTTGCCTTAATTACAGTGTTAATAGGACATCCCTAAGGTGTGTGTGGGGTGTGTGTCATGGTTGTTATTGTTGTGTGCTATTCCTAAAATCATCAGAAAACAGAATGGCAAAACAGTAGATCTTTTAGTCTTTGATCATATTTGGTTAAGTGTTTACTTATAGTTTTTGCTGATTCATTTATGCTTCTGGGTAAATGCTATGAAATGCAATTTGGGTTATGTTTTTTAAACAGATCAGTATATTTTTGCAGTGTGAGGGATTGTGAAAATTAGACAGAAAAGCAAAAAATAGATATGTATTGTAAGCAATGAAATTACAGTTTTTTTAGTTACTGCTAGGTGAATAGATGACAATATAAAAAAGAAAAAGTTAAATTGCATATATGGAACATGAATTTATTATAAATGTAAGATACTTTAAGTGCGTTTGGGAATATTGCTGTATTTTCATTACTAAAAATATTTAATAGTTTCATGTGGAAAATAGAGAAGTTGTTAGCTCATGTATTCTATTAAAGTTTCATTATCCTTCTTAGTATTTCTCAAAGTTCATTTCATTCATGTAAGTTACACTTAAAATTCTGTTACTTTAAAATTGTGTATGAAAAGAAATAGCATGAAAATTCTGTTGCTTTTACCTCTTCTCCCTCAAACCAAATTTTATAACCGTTTTAAGCATTTATTTGTCCTAGAAACTCGCTCACTATCTTCCTTAGAATTAAAGTATTATTATAGTTAGCTGAGATGAATATCAGAATCAGTAGAGGATCTTCCCTCATGTTATCTTGGGTGTCCATTTTATGGGTTTAGTTTATAAATGATGCTGCCATATAGTAAAAACTGAGGATGTTTAGTAGAAGTGTTGGCATGGGGAGGGGAGCCAGTTACAGGAAGGACTGTAGGAGGAGATTTGTCCTCTCATGATCTCCCAGATGGGAATTGCATTCTGGAGCATGGAGTGCTTAATAAGATTTCAGGGTAGTTACCTGAAAACATGCTAAGCAAATAGAAAATATTTTTTCCACAACTTAAAAGTTTGATGATTTGGTAAGTTTAGGCAAATGAACAGGCAAGTAAGTGAACAAATATCCACTTCGAGGTCATTTTCACCAAAACAAATACCTTATGTTGTCGGTGCTCCATCACCTGTGCCACTGTAGAACCCATCGGGAGGGATGGAACAGGGCAGTAACTTCAGTCAGTCACTAGCTATAGAAAATGGCTCACAACCACAGGTGGACAATTTGCATATAGATAACTGGGCATCTATTATATGGCTTGAGTTTGATTTGGTCATTTATATTGTGTTTACATGCAGTTCTTTAATGGAACTTACAGGCCTGGCTCAAAAATTATCAATTAATTGTTGTCTGGTTCAGCTAAAACACGTTTTTGTTTTACAATTAGTGATCAGAATGCCGTGTCATCTAGTCGGGCACAGCAAATGCATGCCTTTTCCTGGATTCGAAATACCCTAGAAGAACATCCTGAGACTTCATTGCCCAAACAGGAAGTCTATGATGAGTACAAGTAAGTATCATGTGCATACATTAGGCATGCTGATGTGTTAAAGAGCTTAAGTACTATACTTGACTGTAGTGATTTGTTTTATCATTGGTGAATATCATGCTCATATATGGGATTTTGACTTAGAGATTTCTAAGGTTCTTTCCATCTCTAAGCTTCTCTGCTAGCATGTATCATAAAGGACAGAATTATTGAGTAAAAGGATTCTCTAGAGTTCTTCTGGATGATAGGAGGGATGTTTGAGGGTAGAATGATAATGGTATAGGATTGCTGAATGAAAGGGTTCCTATAGAGTTCTTAAGGATGAAAGTAAGGGTGCGTCTGGGGTTAGAAGAACAGTGGAAGGCAATAAATAAGTCAGTGTGAAAGGGAAAACTAAAACATGTTTTTTATTTAGACTTCTTAAAGGCCTTTTTCATATGTCCAAAACTTTTCTAATGCTTCTCTATACCAACCAAAAAAAAAAAAAGCTAAGTTTCTAGAGTATTGTGAATTACTTATTCATGAATGTGGGAGTTCAGTGGCTTATACATATTCAAATAATGTCATTTGTACAGATAATTTATTTAAATACAGGAAACATAAATATAGAGACTAATGGGCCTTTCTGGATAAAGAAAATTTAATAGTTGCTAAGTCTAGATTTATTTAACATTTTTATAATTGATGTGGAAGATGGAATTTATTCTGACAGAGTAAATAAAACCAAAATTTGCAGAGTATTTAAATGTCAAACCAACAAGTATTCGTGTGTTGTACTTACACAATTTGAAAGAAAAGTGTCAAATAACTGCTTTGTTAAACAGTGTAAAATGATGCAAAGGGACACTACACTTACTGCGATTTTAGTACCTAGAAAGAAAACTTCTACCTTCATTCAAAATTGTGATTCCCTCACCTTAAGGAACATAATGGAGCTGGAGAAAGTCTAGAGAAAAATGTCTGAAATGATCAAGGGAACAAAGTTAAACTGAAGAGCTTTAGATTTTTTTCTCTTTCAGAAAATTAAAGCTAAGAGTGCATGTGACCCAAGTCTATAAAGTTCATTCTCTTAATTTATAACAATCTGTTGAATGCCAGACCCTGTCTTAAGTTCTGAGGATATAATGAATAAGACACAGCCCCTCCCATTCATGAAAAATATGTATGTATTTATAGTATTAATTTTTCACTAAACTTAACTAATTAAAACAGATAACCCTATAAAACTACAAAGAAGCAAATATTAATAATTGAAAGGGTGTTAATATCAGTAAACATGTGATATGTTGAAGAAACTCTGGATTGAGTATCAACAGACTGGTTCTGTCATTAAATCTGTGACCTAGACAGGTGTTTTAACCATTCTTTTTGTTAGATGCATTATCTATAAAGTGAGGCAGTTGAAGAAGTATGAGGTTTCTTAATAGCTTTAAAATTCTAAAAGTTGTTTCAAGTAAGAAATGTTGAGGAACCAGTTATCCAGAGATGCCTTGCTAGTTTCCCAAAAGGCAAATTGGACAAAATAGTAGATGACATTTTCATAATTAATTAATAAGACTCAAGATATTCATATATTTTTTGAAATGACCTCTTTCTGCTGTAGAACCATTTCCTGTGTTGTCATTAGGGACAGCACCCTAACTTTGTGGAAGTGTCCTTATGTTCTGACCCAGGAAAGCAGTCCTTATATTCCGAAAGGTTTCCTGCCTGTGACAAAAAATTGTTATATTTTTCTATTAAATCATTTTCTGAGATTTCCATAAGCCCTCATCATTCTTCTCATTATGAAAAGTTACAGGTTTTTCCTAAACAAAAGAGAAATAAAGCACTCCATCATTTTGTGGGAGCAGTGGGAGCTTCAATTTTGAGTAATTGATTTGTAGTTGTAGTGGAGAGCAGCACAGATAAAAGGAAGGGACACTGACTACAGCTGAACGGAAGTAGTAGGTAAGGGAAATTTTGTATCATAACGTGACTAAGAAAGAAATATCCATTCTGTTCATGGAATGTGAAAGAATTGTGCTAATGATTATGCCTCTCTTTATAGTCAGTATAGTACTATACCTCAGTCTGGGTATCTTAGTTCAAAAACCGTTTCACTAAGAATATACTTGATTTTCTGTTATATTCCCTACCGGGTTTCCGCATAGTAGACACAAATTTAATAATAAGAGTGATTAGAATGGTCTCTGATCCCTGACATTGATAATAAAATTTCAGTGTTTTAAGACTTAAGTCTTTTAGTGCACTCCTGTCCCCATTATATAGATGAAAACATTGAAACCCAGGGAAGTTAGGTGACTCTCCTAGTGTCACAAAACTAGTTAGGGGCCAGTATAGGGCTAGAACTCAGATTCCATGAGTTCTTTGCCAAAGAAGGCAAATTTGTTAAATTTGAGTGATAGCATACTGCGTGGGTAGAAAAGGTTGGTCAAGTAGTTAGAAGTAAAGTTAGCTATGACTTCCACTTAGGCTGAATAAATAAGCTGCTCAAAATACGACTTAGTATACATACAATTAGTATACATGCATATAAATAATACAACTGGGATAAGAGACCCACAGTAACATGTATTAGCATGACATGGGCTAAGAAAAAAGTATGTTTGTGTGTCCACATCATCATAGCATGTGGGAGCTCCAAATTCAAATTTTTCTTTCATTTGATTATGCATTACCTAAAACCATAATTTGCCATGTGGGTTCAAATAACTTGAGAGGTGAAAAATGTAGGAGGACTATAGACAGGCAAGAAGTAGATCAAAGTATCAGGAAATAGCTAGTTAAAAGTTTTTTAATTATTTTGTGTTATCTAAAGAAAGCAAAATGTAGTATAACTACATTTTTTTTTAAGTACAAGAGTTTTAAATCACAGAAGAGACTTCAATTAGACACAAAATAACATTCTTCTCCATAAAGATTTTTAGAGAAATTTTGTTCTTTCCTAATGGCCTTTTAGACTAGTCATCTTCCTATTTGGAGTACCTTAATGAGGTTTCCTGCGTAAAAACTTAACATAGAATGACGAGTCTGAAATTGATTCTATTTTAAATACTCACTGAAAAAATGTTGTTAATATGAAATATACCTTTATTTTAAGCTATTCTATTGCATTTAGACCCTTGTATAATTTATTGCAATGATGTTCAGATGTATTTTTTGTGAAATTAATCCCTTTCACAGTCATTAAAATCAAAATCCCTTTGAGAGGAAAAAATGAAGATATAATCTAAGACACCATTGACTGACTTAACACTCTTTTCATACTAAATTAAGATACTAATAGGAACAGAAAGCTTTAAGGGGCTTTCAGCATGCAAAATGTTTAATTTACAAATGATCCTGAACTTTTTTATTTGTTGAAACTTGAATTCTGATAATCTCATGTTTATGAAAATGATCAATAACGTGTTTATATTATTTTTGGATTACAAACGTAATTTGTATTCATCATTACAGTTTTGGGAAAGAGTTATAAACATATTTAAAAAAAAAAACTAGTACCAGTAAATCTCACTACCTAAAAATAACCACTTTGGTTTATTTCTTTTTATTTTTGTCTAATGCCTTCTTTTTTTGTGTATGTTCTTGTTATTGTTTAACCAAATTTGGCCCCACTGTTTACACAATTCTTGAAGGGGGAACAGTGGCAAATAACACTGCAGCGAACATTCTTGATGATATAATTTAGTGTATATTATCAAAATTGAGATTGCGGGTTTATGGACCTTTATATATTAAGGATATTAACTATTAAAATGTAAATATTTTTTAAGATTACTGTGTATTGTTTTAATCTCTTTATAAGTAGTCTGATTTAGCCACTTTCTTTACAGCTTGTAGCACTGCTATTATGCTTAGAAATAACTTCGCCATGCCACTAGCAGCTCAATACCTGTGTATTTTTCCTAGATTTTTTTAAAGATATTTCTTATTTCACTCTTCATATATAATCCTTTAGTCTTGGTGAAAATGCCATTAGATAAGGCACTAACTTCAGTTTTTTTCTGAATATTACTAATTATCCCAGCCTCATTTATTGAATAATTTTTTTTCTCTTAACACACTAATCTGAAATATAACTTTTAACTTATTACTAAAGCCCTTTTAGACTCAGTTTTTTTCCTTGATGTTTTCTGTCCTTATTCCAGTACCATACCATTTTTAATATTTTAACTATTAACTATTTAAAAAACTGGTAGGACCAGACTCCCCTTACTATGCTATCCCTCTTTTTAAAAAATTTCCTTGGTTTTATTTTCAGACCAGTTAATGTTTTTCATTTGAAGTTTGGGATCACTTTTCTAACTTTAAAAAAGGAAACCTCAAAGGAATTTTGATTCAAAATGCATTAAATGTGAAATCTTCTATTAGAAAAATTAATTTCAGAGCTAGAAGTATGTTTCTTAATTTATGTCTTTCTGATGCCCTTCAGTGAAGTTTCAGTTTTTTCCCTTCAATTAAGTCCACTTGTTTTTCTTTTTTTCCTTGGTAATTTTTTTTTTGTTGTTATTTATGTTAAAAATATTTTTTCTATTGCTTTACTACTGATTTGTTTAGGTTTATAGGCTATCTATAGACTTCTGTTCTATTTATGTTGTATTTTATATATACTGAATTTTTCAGTTGTTACTTTTGACTCGAGTAAAATTTTTTCTATATATCTTCCTCACTCTATTTTATTACATTTAATAGATTTTCCTTCTGATTTTAAATAATAACAATGATAGGCATCATTTCCTCTTACAGTTTTTTGATGTTAAGGATGTTTCATTTATAGTTGATCAAGACCTTATTTGCTATTTTATGAGAAATGGATATTGAAATTTATCAAACGCTTTTGGGCATTTATTGAGATTATTATGAACTGCTTTTTTCTTTTACCTATTGATGTGATATATAAAGATATTACCTAACATATAAACCCTTCTTTTAGTTCTAGAATGAATGTTCTCTTCATATCAAGATGTGTAATCTTTTAGTGTACGGTTGATCTCTGTTTTCAAGTATATTATTTAGGATCTTTGCATCTATATTTATGAGTGAATATTTTGGTCTGTAATTTTCTTTTTTTGTGCTATCTTTGTCAGGTTTTGATATCAGGGTTAGGCCAGCTTCGTAAATGAATTGGAACTCTTTCCCTAAATTTCTGTGCTCTGGAACAGTTTATATAGCATGGGACTTATTTGTTGTTGAAAGTTTTAAAGAACTCAACCATAAAACCATCTAGGCCTGGAGCCTTTGTTGGAGGTAATTCTTTGACAATTTTTTGTGGTTTTTTTCTGGTTAGGTTTTTACTTCATCAAATTTAGTAATTTGTTTTTCCTTGAATTCATTCAGATTTTCAAATGTATCAGCATAGCATTACATATATTATTCTCTCCTAAATTGAGTTATCTTCTATATCTCTTATATCTATTTTCATATTTCTGGTTTTATACATTTGAATTTTCCTCTTTTTTTCAAATTATACTTAGCTGTAGTTTATTTCTATTGGTTTTCTTTTAGAAAAAAAAATGAAGCTAAGATTGATATATCAGGGTGTTTGGTTTTTGGTGGGTTTTTTTGTTTTGTTTTGTTTTGTTTTTTGTCTCTTTTCTTACTTATTAGGTGCCTTTCTTTTCCTTCTCCTGATTTTCTTGGGATTTTTTTCTTACTCTGTAAATGGAATTCTTTGTTTTCATTCTTTTCCTATTTAAGATATGAACATTTATATCTGAGTTTGTCTCTGATTATGGTTTTGGCTGTATCCCTTAGATACGGATATGATTTATTAAAATTATCCTTATGTTCTAATAGTTTGATATTATAGCTCTAATTTCTTCTTTGACCCAAAATAGAAGTTTGTTGTTTTTTTTAACTTTTCATGTGCTTGAGAGAGTTCTTTCATTTTCTTTTGTTTTGCACTTGATTAATTTGTAGTTTCATTATATTGTGATCAGAGAATGAAGCTCAACTTCTGAATTTTATAGATCTCTGGGCTGTTTGACACAAGATAAAAGGTTCATGATTTTTATCTTTGTTATAGTTTTTGCCTGTTGTCAACAAAAAAATGATCCTGTGTCATATTGAGTGTATCTTGTGTTAAATTCTCCTTTGATATGAATATTTTTGACCCATTCTGGATATCTGTCTAATACGTATATTTGCCCATCTTTTTTTTTTTTTAAACGATTTGTGTCATTTTGTGTAGGCTGTTTTACATTATGTTTCTAAAGTTGTAAATCTAAAGTTGTTCCGGGTCTTGAAATCTGACCAAAGAAGAAGCTGGTGGAATGAACCAATCTAGAAAGTCTGGTGTTGCTAGAAACACTTAGCAGCCTGAATAGTAGCAGCTGCAGCTACTGCTGTTCTTTCCTGTTGCCTGGGAAAGAAACATAGGCATTAATCTTAAATGGATTTCTTATTAAATAATATATGGCCTGTTTTAGCAGTCCTCTAGGTAGAATCACAGACTTTCGGATTTGTAAACTTCACAACTTTGGCTGCAGTGTTTTCTGGTTCACACATGTTCTCTCCAAATCCCTCTAAGAAACTCTCCTTAATATTTTAAGGAATATGATTGCATTAAATTTTTTATATAGCCATTTTGTATATAAACATTAATTTTATATGTATGATACTTTAGTGCTTACCAGCTAAGTGTGTGATTCCTGTTCTATTAACTAATGTAAGTGAAACTTTTAGGACAACCTTGAAGGCAGAAATAGATTCTAGGAACACTTGTTTTAAGAGTGTTAAGATAGGGGTACCCGGGTGGCTCAGTCAAGGTCAAGTATCTGCCTTCAGCTCAGGTCATGATCCCAGACTCCTTGCTCAGCGGGAAGCCTGCTTCTCCTTCTGCCTGTCTCTCCCTCTGCTTGTGCTCTCTCCCTCTCTCTCTGACAAATAAATAAATAAAATCTTTAAAAAAAAGTGTTAAGATAGTGAATACTTCATAAGTTAAATGGTATATAAATGTTTTACACCTGTCTAAAATCTAGGTTAAACCTAAGCATATATGCATGATTTATAAATTTATTAAGTATATATTAATGTTATAGCATCTGTATAAAATAAGTGGAAGCAAATATCATCCATCCCTCCCTTTAAGGGTGACTCAAAGAAATGAAATAACTAGGCAAATCTGAACCCAGGTTTTGTTAGTTCAAGGCTGGGCTCTTTTTGCACTAATCCGTATTACCTCTAGCAGCTTAGTTCAGATGCTCTTTTTTTTTTTTTTTATTCAATTGGAAGGTCTCATATGATATCCTTTAAATTATCTTTTTTTTAAATTTTATTATGTTATGTTCATCACCATACATTACATCATTAGTTTTTGTAGTGTTCCATGATTCATTGTTTGCGTGTAACACCCAGTGCTCCATTCAGTACGTGCCCTCTTTAATACCCATCACCAGGCTAACCCATCCTCACACCCCCCTCCCCTCTAGAACCCTCAGTTTGTTTCTCAGAGTCCATAGTCTCTCATGGTTCATCTCGTCCTCCGATTTCCCCCCTTCATTTTTCTCTTCCTACTATCTTCTTTTTTTTTTTAACATACAATGTATTATCTGTTACACAGGTACAGGTTTGTGATTCATCAGTCTTACACAATTCACAGCGCTAACCATAGCACATACCCTCCCCAATGTCTATCACCCAGCCACCCCATCCCTCCCACCCCCCACCACCCCATCAACCCTCAGTTTGTTTCCTGAGATTAAGAATTCCTCAGATGCTATTCTTTTTAAAATTAAAATTTTTGGAGTAGCATTTGCCATGCCTTAATCATATTTTAGATATTTTTAACTGATTAGAAATAAACTAAAGCATAAAAGTGATCAATTTCAACATTACTTTTTGTTTATATTTGACAGTTAAATATGGATATTAAATACC